CCCCTAGGCCATTCTCGAGAAAGGAAATCTTTCAAGGGTGAAAACCCTTCTAAGAAGACTCGACCAGGTGTCCTCTCCACGTGTTTGATGTGATAAAGGATCCAAACTAGCAATAGTGGTGCACAACCTATAAATCGTCCTTCTCTTTTTCATTTACAGGAATTTAACGAACATAATGCCTCTGCCAAAATAGCCATAACGAGATCCACATGTCTTTCAAACCAATCAACTACTGATACATCAACATGCCCAAGAACCTTCAGGAATATGACTAGCCCATAAATACCCAAAGCAAATAGGTCAATCTTCTTTCTCTTGTCGGGATGACGATCAATTACTTCTATCATAGTGGTCCAAGTAATACACTCACTATATCCTTTATTTTTTATGCTTATAACGACCCATTCTTCACTCATCCCAAACATCAAAAGGAATTTTTTCTTAAAAGAAAGAGTGTTTGGAAGCTTGGTGTAATCCTTGTCTACTTGAAATCTCAAACAACGAATCAAGGCATGGTACTCCTCAATGGTAGGTGTCATATCCACTCGACCAAAAATAAAATAGTTGTAGGCAGGATTCCATAATTGCCCAAAAGACCTAAACAAATTTCGGTCAATCATAACATCTAAGAGATAAGAGATGTCACCATAGAGTTGATAAAACAACTTCTTATCGGATGCTTACCATTTTACCCAGATTTCTTTCAGTTCTCTCAGGTCATTTTGACGAACATTTGTGTGTGTGTGTGTGTGCCCAATCAGATTTGACACTTATCCAGGCTGTAAACTATCTCCATTTGTAAGTTGGGACTACTCGGACTATCGTAGAACTTCTGCATTGTCTTATACCTCTTTTTGAATCCTTCGTTCCATATTACTAGTCTTCTATATGGACATCGATCACGGATCAACACCATGGAATGAATAGTGCAATTCAAAAATGAAAACAAAATAAAACAAAAAGGCAAAAGAAAATTAGTCAGTAATCAAAAAGAAATTAATCAGACATGATATAGTTTGTCAATAAAACCTACCCCACATGTTGGCTACCCAATCATTCTTTATCAGATCCTACCCAAACATGATTTCTACCCACATGCTTTGTTTATAGAAAATCCTAAACTCATGCCATCTAGTTCATATGTTTATTTGGAAAAAAAAAAACCTAACCTCCTGATCTCTAGTTCGTATACATTTATTTGAAAAGTAAAATTACACTACAAAAATTAAAAGACTCAAACATGCTTTTCTCCTCACGAGACTCTTAAGGTTTTAGTTGGGCTTTACCTAGGTTTGAGTTTTAGGTTCATTATTTGATGGGTTCGTCTCTAAAGTAAAAGGTTCTCAAATTATCCTTGTTAGTGCCCCCTTAGGCTACCAAACCCTTAATCCTTGCCTATCATAGACTTTCAGATTGAGTTCAATTCAAGGGGACATACCTCCTTATGTTCATACAGAGGTTAAAACCATCACGAGGACTATAAGGCGTGAGCCCCACGAGCGATTTACTATCTAATACGGAGGTGAAAACTACAATAGGGAGTAGTTTCTCACTCCTACTTAAATAGGATGGAGGGAGATTTTAGCTCATGTTATGCAAATGCAGTTGTGTAGTGTGTGAGGAAAAATGAAAAACACACAAAATTAAATTCACAATTCCCATTAAGGCATATTTAATCTGAAAACATTAACAAACAAATCAATACAACTATTTAGTGGTTAATCAAATTATAAACATAAAATTTATTTAAACCAAACAAGGGATCAAAAACTAAATTAGAACGAAATTGTAACTTTCATTGCAAAGATAATTAATTTATTGACTAACGGCTCGACTATAAAAAAAAGACCCCAGCGGAGTCGCCAAGCTGTTGAAATGGTTTTTCTTAAAAAAAAAGTTTAACTTTTAAAAGATCTCGTCTCGAATAATTTAGTGACCTGTTAATAATAAAACGTGATTCGAGGAGTCGCCACCAATATTTGATTAGGGTGTGATTGTGTAACCCCCTCAGACCGATGTGAATAACCTGATTTGATCTGGAGTGTCACATTAGGGCCACCGGAGCGACCCATTATAAAAATAGCGGAAAATTTAAAACCTTTCTTAAAACTTGTAAACTTATAAAATCATTTATGAGTACAAAATAAAAGTTATCAATATTCGAAATAAAATAGATTTTCAGACTCGTATATAAAACAAAATACAATTACATGCCACCTAATCACATGTACCGTACTCTGCAAACAGCACCGGAAGAACTTCCTTACTGAAGTCGATAGCTGCACTGGTACAATTCTTTTAGCCTAAAAAGAATATTTTCCTTCTGCGTTACTTGCGTTTTCAAACATGACCGAAGTGATTTTAGATGAAAATATAGAATCGAAGATTCAAGTCATTTACAATCTATGACTATCAATCGTATTATCAAATAATTCGAGTTACACAACTCCCAAACTGATACATGTCAACAAGTCAATTCATTATCCTTCCAGTGTATTCACTCTTTAATACCATAATGCAGATCTATAGATCATCCCCATAAATAATCGCTAAATAGATATTCCAACGGTGTTTATTTTATTTCCATGTTTCAACGATATCAAGAAATACAGACGTACTTGATTCATAGTTCATAACCCATAAGGACAATTCATCATGTAAGTTCAACGGTGTTTCCAAACTCATTCAATCACCTAATTAATCCTCAGTCATTGAGGTTACTTAGATCGTTTAGTAAGCAAGTCTATCCCGGTTACTTTAGAGTTTTCCAGAATAATTCAGACGTTTCTGAATTTCAAATACATGTTGTACTTTCTTTCATTTCAATTTAGTCATATAATAAAGTCATTCTGGTATCCGTGGTTTATTTTTTAAACAAACGTCCAATTCTTAGTACTAAATGCGATCTAGAGTTGAGCTGAGCTGAATACTTCCAAAATTTATCATCGAGACAAACTTGAGAAGACGAACACGCATTCCAGTAATATCTATGCCATTCAGGTATTGACATAGCTTTAGGGTTGATCTACTCACTTAAATTATGTTCCATTACTTTTAAAGGTAGTTCAATACCTATGTTTATTTGGATTTCTTAATTAATCCAAGATATTTACTTAGTATAGGCCATAAGGGTATTTTGGTCATTTTGGTATTCAGTTTTATTCCAATCATTACAGAGCTCAAGGATATCCCATTATTCTTGAGCTTGGTGGTATTCTTGGGTCATTTCCATTATAGGGGTATTTTAGTCATTTTACAGATTCAGTGTATTTTAATCCTTTCCTTCCGTCCGATCTTACTATTGAATTCAATCTTATCATTTATTTCAGTCCTTTCGAACAATTCTGACAGCAGAATACCCTCGATAAATTATTCTTCAGGTATTTACTCATTACTCGGATATTTTCGGGTTAAGTGCCTTCTCAGATTTTACAAATGGAATATCATGATTTTTTTTGTACAAAGACAGGATCTTAACAATCAAATTTGTACTTAATCGAGTTAAGTACAAATGCTCAAAGCACTTTCTCATTCAGGGTCAACTCAAACTATTTTACCTCTCAAGGGCATTTTCGTAATTTCTTAACCAGATAATTTCGATATTAGTTCTTAACAAAAATAATTATAATTTAGAGATCCTATGATTAATTGCTTTCCCGAACATTTTCTGATCTTGAAATGATTCCCTTAACATACTCCTAGATTTTTGCTCAAATCTTCATTGTTAAAAACCGATTATCTATATTTTTCAAGCAAAACTAGCATTTCTTATGCACATCAATAGTTTCATCATATCAAAAATCTCTTATCCAACTTCCATAGGCAAATCTTGTCTTTTTATAACATAATGGTATTTTCATAATTTTTTTACCTTACCGAAGTATTCTCATAATTTTCCATCTAAGTACCTTTAACATTTGACCTTTGATGAAATAAATTATAACATACATATCTAGATTGATTTCTTTATTACCAAACACAGAACTTGAAATTTAATTCTAACAATTCCTCAATTTCTTATAAAAGTCCTCTGAACCATAATCAGTTACCAAATCTCTACTGTATTCGGATCGAGTGTAGAAATTAATTAACTACTCAAATGAGACCAACATTATCTTATTCATACATTTACCAATATTTATATGATCCACAAAGCATAAAGAGGTAGGAAAGTATTTTCTCGATTTCTGTGCCATACTGATCAACCATTAAATTCCATTCGAACGTCCTCGATCTTTAATTCAACTTCCAATATTTTCCTCACTATCCAGGCCATCCAAATTACTAACTCATATCTAAACAATTTCCCTTGCCATAAAGATAGCTTATTAGAATTGAAATAATAATTTGGAAACTCAATTAGTATAATAGAATACTTGTGGGGCTACTTTAATAATTAATCACTAAAATTATGGACTGGACCAATTAATTTGCACTATTGGGCCATAAAACTAAACTAATGGAAATTATAAGACAAGGCCAAGTTCTTACCAAACCTTGAGAACTCATGATGTGATTTTCCACTTTATATTTTTAAATCTCCTCCCACGTGATTTTTCCTAATGGAATCATAACCCCATTTTCCCAACATTTCAATCTCATTTCTTTAACATTTCATAAACATTCCACATCTTTAAATTGTAGTTGTGAAGCTGTATTCCATCTTCGAGAATGAGAACTCAAAATTTCAATTGCAGCAGTTTTTATTATAACTGTCACCTCAACATTCTAAGCAGTTTTGCATGGACCTCCATGAGAGAAACCTTCCATGTCGACGACAAAGCTATCGGATTTATCATCGGCTGTGTATTGTAACCCGTTAATATGATCTGAAACTGATATCTTTTGTGTGGATATCTCGTTGGAAGATGTTAAATCCAGCTTTGGATTTTTCAGCCATGTTCAACATTTTCTCAGTAAAACGAAGTAAAAGGGAAACAAAACAATGAAGGAAGCGGTGGAATCAGGAGGACTGTATAGAGCATCCAACAATTGCGTGTTCAAATGGCACTCAAGAAATCTTCATGATTTCTTCCAGCACGAATTAACTATTCTTAAAATCAAAGAAAGTATCGTGATTTACAAAGAAACAAGATTCTGGAAAATGAAAGAAAAAGGTGACACAAACGAACAAAAGCTGAAGCTTTAATGGAAGTGGAGAACCTTAGATAAAATGCTTTGTCAAACCCAAATGGTGGTGGATAGAGAGATAAATGAATAAAACTACGTTATTTATAAAATGCTGGAACGAAACCCTTTCTTTTTGTATCTAACAAGTGAAATAATTGTGTGGATCCCATGGACTCACATGTCGAATATCGGCTTAGAATCATACTAGATTTTTCAAGAAATGGCAACTTGCCTTCAACCATAGAAAGTGTCGGTTTGAGTTTGGTTTCCCATTATTCTCATTATCCATTTTAAAACCTAATTGTTCTTTAAAATATCTCAATTTGTGGCCCTCCTTTATTTTGACTAAAATAATATTTATCAGTCAGATCTAAATCAACTAAAAATCAATTTCCAATTCTCTAGAATCATCTTAATATAATAATAATCAAGTAAGGACAAATTATACTCAAAGTTTCCAAATCTTCATAATATTTCTTGTGAACATAATTAATTTAAATCCCCAATTTCTTCCAAAATACCAATTAAATTCACCACTTTAATATTTCTAAAATTTAGCCCCTAAATTGGGGTGTTACAGATTGGGTGAAAAAAACGTATTTTTTATTTAAATAAAAATATTAATTTTAATTCAAACAACAAATTTACGATCTGTGTTACCAAAAAATTGATTTCAGGAGTCGGATACGCGTGGGGAAAGATTAGCACCCCCACAGCGCCCTAAATCAGTACCTAGTCAATTAATTAATTGTCTTTGCAATGAAATTTATGAGTTCGAGTTAAATTTAATTTAAGATCCCATACAAATAATATCCTTTAAATTTTAGGATGAAACACAATAATATTTAATTATTTCCTATCGAGAAGAATCGACCTCTCATGTCTTAAAGCAGTTAATCCATACTTCAATCGAAATAAATAAATATTATAATTACATTCCTAAAGTTCATTAATTTTAAATTAAAATACATAAATAACAATAAAATAAAAAATAAATTTAAGAATTTCTTTTTAAAACACATTCTTTGAATTTTGAGGGGTAAAACGATAACATTTAATTATTTCTAATCGAGAATAAATGACCTCACATGCCTTAAAGCAATCATTTATTACTCCAATAGAAATAAAGAAATATTACTATTTCAACCTAAAATTCAATATTAATTAGAGTGTTATTTATTTTTGAAATCATATTAAAACATGTACAAAAATAAAACAAAAATTACAAACATATACCAAACAAATAAGGTTAATTAATTATTTTACCAACCATTAATGAGAATAAGGATGTTCAATTATTTAAATACATCGAGATAGGACCTTAGATTCGATCTAACAGTCTTTTCTCGATGAATTTAATTAAAATAACACAATCTTTTTCTAAGCCCCAAATTTTAAGTGTAATCAAAATATTTTAAGGTTTCACTTGATGGAATACCCTTTTATTTTAAGATTGTTGAAAGGGACCTCTTATTCTTTAAGACAATCACTTTCTCTAATCACAAAATGAACGGATATTCCCTTAGTCAAATTATTTTGATTCGCGTCAAGAAATGCTTATGAGGATACTATGCAATTTAAACCTAAACATATATGTAACAAAATACACAAATATTTCATAATATCAATATATTTTTATATACAGATAACACTCGAAACACATATTACAAATATAGGACTAAATAATAAAATTGGGTATTTTAGTGTCACAACAGCCAATTAAATAAATAGAATAACATATAACAAAAATATATATATTATAAGCACTACCATTGTAATAAACCCATATATTCAGGACCAAGATGAACATATTTATCATTACATGCTAAAATTATAATAAATAAAAATAAATAAGATATGGGGACCATATTAAACTAAAAAAAATTACATTATCGAATTAAATTAAATCAAAAATAAAAAACAGATCAGGGACCAAAATATAAAAACATATTAAAACTATAGGGACTAGTTAATAAATATTTCTTTTTTAAAACCCTAAAACATACTTTTTATTAAAAATGGATAAATTACTAAATCAATACAGAAAAATTAAATTAAATTAAATAATCACTACACATGACTAACATGCAAAAAACACGCTTAAACAAGGGGACTAAACAATAAATATTTTAATAAACACATAACATACAAGAAAAAAAGGTAAATAACAATTTCGGTCCTCTCAGGTGACCAAAATGCAAAAACACGTTGAACGTAGAGGGACTAAACAACAATTAACTCAATCAATATATAACACGTATGAAAAAAAGGGTAAATACCAATTTTTGTCCTCACAAGTGACCAAAATGCAAAAAGGTGCAAACCTTAGGGGGACTAAATCGTGATTAACCTCTAATTTTCCCTATAAAAGTTACTTTTTACTTTTTCTTTCATTTTCAACCCAAACACAAAAAAAAACTCTCTCCCCTCTATTATCTCTTTCTCGGCTGGCCCACTGTCGGCTACCAAACACCGTCGCTCTGGCCGTCGTTCTGGTTGCCACACACGGCGGTCGAAACTCCTAAACCAACCCAAAATAACCTACATGCTTTGTTTCACTCTACTAAACCCCAATCTGGGGTCAAAATTATCGAATAATGCTCCTAAACACCGCAAAAAATCCCTCAAAGTTTTGACTTTCCCCCACTCCGGCGATCGCAAAGATGAATCGATCGTTCGATTTAACTTCTCTCTCAGGTAACTCTCTAGATCTACTCTTCTTCTTTTGTTTTTTTTCGTAAATATGTATTATTTATTTTTTCAAAACTAAAAAAGGGAAAAAATACCTTAAGAAACTTTTTCTTGTATTGCTTCCAGAAAAAAGACAAGGGATCCTTTTTCTTACAACTAATTTCGAGTTTTATACCTAGATTTACAGAGATTAAAATAAATAAAATAGATAATCTAATCTCTACTATTTTCTGACACCCTGCAAGGTTGTTGATGATGAACGTGCGTGGCAAGGAGTGGCCTTCCACTCGGGTAAGCCAATTGCCTTGGTTTTCTTGATTTTTTTTGTTTTGTTTCTTGTTGTTGTTACTGTTAAACTTGGATTTGATGGGATGTAATGGTGACAGGGTTTGTTGGCTTCTTGTCTGGGGATGTCACATTGGCCTGAGCAGCTGTCGGTGGATGCAAAGGAGATCCCGGTGTGAGCGGCGGTGATTGGAAACTAGGGTTTCAAACCCTAGTTTCTTATTTCTGTTGGGCTAGAGTTTAGGCCTCGTTTTGTTGGACTTCGGTTTATGCCCGATGTCCCTTTGTAATTGGGCCCAATTTTGGGGCTTGTAATTTGTCCTATAATATTAATAATAATAAATAAAAATAAATTAAATCAAAATAGATAAATAAAATAAAATAGATAAATAAAAATAAAAGAACCGGGTAAAAACGAGTGTCTACAACTACGATGTCGCTCCAGGTTAGTTGATTGGAATTTCCTAGTGGATTCTTGTTAGGTACTTTATTTATTAGTGATTGGAGGATTAGATACCTTCAATATGTTATGATATAAACCTAGCTACTAAGTATAGTAGAAACAGAAGAGAAAATAGAAGAATACTCTTCATTTCACTTCATGAATCTTACTTACATGATTGGAGGCTTGGTAGCTCATTTATATCAGCTGATTAACTATAACAGCTGGTTAACAACTTCCCTTAACTAACTAGTAACAACACTTAACAAATTCTTAACAACTTTAGTTACAACTAACTTTATACTAACATTATATACACTAACATTCCCCATGCAGTTCACACTTTCAGCTTTGCTCTCTGATGAACACTCTTCATGCTGTTCACATACACTAACATTCCCCATGTCATTATTCTTCACTTATTCGGACAATGTTTTTGTTGGAAGAAATGCGGTTAAGCTACGATCTCCCGAGTGTAATCTGAAGCCTCTCTTAGGCAAGAAAACACTCTATTTTGTCTGGTTAAGGAGAACAAGGCAGTTAAACTCTTGACTCTCCCCAAATATTTTCTACTATGGACACTTGGTTGTTAAGCTTCAAGTTCCAACTACCAATAGCAAGCATTGTGCCGAGCAGGAGAAGTTTCGATGCTCAGTAGTTTGTAGACCAATCTGCAGCACTTCCTACTTTTTCCATGCCAGTAGATTCCTTATTCGCCTCTACATCGACGCTGAAAGTTGCACCACAGACATGACCTGAACTGTCCACCCTCGGCATCGGCTTTAACTTGTTCAGAGGATGCTCATAGCTCCTTAACCGCCCGGGGGATGTGAAAAAGCACCCTTTCGGGAATGGAGCAAAAGACTTCCCGCAAACTTTCTTGACGGTCTCCGTATCATCCGCAAGAACCCCAACAACATTCTTTTAAAAATTCAACCTTGAGTTTTATGTTGTAAGAGAAAAATTTAGGGTTTTCATCCAAATCACCAAAGAATTTTGTCTAATAAAGGAGCTCAATTTTGGGATTCAATCACCAAGGTAGTGTATTTCTAATCCTTTAGAGTATTAAGCTTTCATAGATTTCAAGCAAATTCTAAGATTTGAGTAATAGCGCATTTTTAGGGTTTACTTTGATTTTATGATTAAACCATGTTTTAGGTATTAAAAAGTCTTTTTAACACACCTTAAGACCCCAAACAACTTGCAAAAGCTTTATAACAAGATTAAAAAGTAACTGAAGTCATTTAGGGTGATTTTTGGGTGATAATCGGCCTAAAAGGCCCATTTTAGGGTTTAAGTACTAATACTAGGATGAACAATATTGATATTAGATGAATTGGGGCTAAAATTAAGGGTTTTAGAGGGGAGTATCGATACTATCAAGGGAAATATCGATATACTGAGGCCCTAATTTCGTAGTAGAATACATTTTTGGTACCGATACTCATAGGGGTATCGATACTACAACTTGGGTATCGATACTACCCTCTTTCCATGATCAGCTTTGACACGATTAAGGTCTGTAAAAGCTTGGAATAGTTTGTAAGGATAAGTTTAGTCGGAGAGGAATGTAAATGGCCAAATTGGCCTTGAGATACTCATAGTA